AAGTAACAATATGTTATATTACTGGAAATTAATATCCTAAGTAACAGTGTATTTCAAACAAGAAGAACATACTGAAAATTCTTTTAAAAAAATAAAACCTTACATTGTTTTAGTATCCTTTATTCATCCCTAGCTTTCTTAAGCACAGTGTGCATCTTTCTCAAGGAGACTGTGTATCATTTTCCTAAATATGTAAATGAGAGGTATGAGAGTCAAGCATATGGTCTGTTCCTCAGTTTTGAAGAAATTAAGGAAACAAAGGAATCGGTGAATGACAGACAAGTCCTGGTAGACACGCATGATGACATGACATCTCTGCATCATGCAATGTGTGCGTTAAGTTGCTTCAGTCTGACTCTGTGGACACTATTGACCATAGCCGCCCAGACTTCTCTGTCCATGGGGATTCTCCAGGTAAGAATGCTGGAGTGGGTTGTGCTACCCTCCTCCAGGGGATCTTCCCAACCCAGGGATTGAAACTGCGTCTCCTGTCTCCTGCATTTGCATGTGGGTTCTTTACCAGTAGTGCCACCTGGGAAGCCCCAGAAATTTATGGTATTGCTAATCTTCTCAACAAAATACAGGTGTATATTTTTCTCTTATGCAGTTGAAGAAACTGAAATTCAGAGAGCTTTGTAAACTTGCCTAGCACCAGAGTGTTCAGTCAGCATGTTTTTAAGTCCTTTGCTGTTTCTTTCAAAAGACAATCTGGCAAATTGTGTGTATAAGTATGTGCACATGTTTCTAGAATATCTCACTTAACACATATCACATTTTGCACAGCACTTTAAATTATTGGTGAGTATACCTTCTGGCATCCATATTTAACTGAAAGTTGTTTTAAAATGGTGATATTTTAGACTTTCAGCCACATTCTCCTTATTTGACCCATAGTATTAACATAGAGCTTTGTACATGGAAAAGTTTAAAGAAATTCTTTAGAGTTGGACATATATATTGAACTTGACTTGTCAAATTCTTTTGATTATTAGTAAATTTTTTTGAGCAATCATTTTGTTCAAATGTGATTTAATGAGTCTTATGTCTTGGTTTTTCTTCTTTATGTGTTTTTGAAGAGCTGTGTTTCCAAAATGATTTGAGTAAAAATCCACTTTATATGAAAAGTGACTGGTTTGGCTAATAAAAATATGTAATTGGAAAAAAAAAATCATTCCAAAAAGTTTTCTTTTTTTTAATGTTAGTATTGAAAGTGTAATGGCTTATTTTTCTGTAGATTATTAACACTCTGGTCTGGAACATTATCTATTAAAATTTCAATTTTATTATTTGTACCTCCAAATTAGCATATTATTGCGGGACTGTGAGTGAAAGGTCCATGGATGGTGAGGCTAGAGTGTGAAAACATGTCACTGTCCTCAAATAATAGCTTCCATTCATCTAAATTCCTTTCTTTACCTCTGTTTACACACAGGTGTTTACATAGTAAACAGTAAATGGATACACTGTAATCTTGAAAACAAATGTTTATGCATAAATCAAGTTCAAAGTAATCTTAGTAGACATGGTTTTATGCCCTGCCACGATATCCTAAAATAAGTCATTATTATAGATAATCACTTTCTTATACTTTCTATCATTTTGTCCTGTTCCTTCATCAAGTTGAAAATACATGAAATAAACTGCTGGTTTTCACTAAAACTAGACTTAATTTACTTCATATTTGTGATACTCATATTTCACTATGGAAATAATTTTTGGATTCCTTCAAAGGGTTTCCTTTTTAAGCATGTCTATCTTCTTTCTCTTTGTCCCTCCAGACCTACTTCATATATCCATGCTGTTCCTTTGTTCTCTACTCAGCACAATTGGGTAACATGTTTAAGCAAAGCCTAAGTCTTTCCTTGAAAATTTGCTATATTTTGTCTATCCCTTTTCACAAGTAACACCCCTGATTATGCTCAAAAGTGTTAGTTGCTTAGTCGTGCCCGACTCTTTGGGACCCCATGGACTGCAGCCCACCAGACTCCTCTTGTCCATAAGATTTTCCAGGCAAGGATACTGGAGTGGGTTGCCATTTCCTTTTCCAGGGGATCTTCCCAACCCAGGGATTGAACCTGGGTTTCCTGCACTGCAGGCAGATTCTTTACCAACTGAGCTACAAGGGAAGCCCCATACATCTTGTTTATTTCTACCATAGAGAGAAGAAAGAGCACTGATATTGGAGGCAGACATTCAGTTTGAAATTCTTCTCAGTAACATGTCTGATTTTCCTTCTCAGTAGACATGAGACAATATTATCTGCATGATAGTTCTGTATGGATAATTTAATCATATAATTGTGTAATACCTAGAAAAGTAGTCATATGATAAGAACTAAAAATATTAATTCTTTTCTTTATATTGAGACTTCATTTATTATGATGTTCCTGTTACAGGAGAAGTTGTGGGAACAATTTTTCTACATTAGTTGCATTCTCAGTAGTATCCACCATGGTAGATATTTGGTATATATTTGTTAAATAGTGAATAAATAACTCACCTAGATGAGTTGCTATTAAAATAGTACTGTGTATATTTATCTTCTACATATATGTGTGTGTGTGTTTGTGTGTATTTGTGTACATATACATGTCTCTCGATGCTACAGTTGAGGGGGGAAGAAAAGGTAATTGAATGTTGGGGAGATTGTTTACTTGTTAATGTGTCAGTCAATTTACATATCCTTATTTAAGTATCCATAATCACATGCATGTAAAAGAAGGCTATTTTAAATTAGTATCTGCTTTCAAATTTATTTTCAGAAAGTTATATACTTGTGACACGACAATTAAATATAAGTTCTAAATGTTTTCTTACAAGTCAAAGTGTTGATAAGAAAAACAAGCAAAATGTTGCACAGAAATCCTTTTCACATTATTTATCTCAACCTCATTTTTTCTTGTCAGTGCTTTCTCTGTTTGCAAAAGTAAAATGTGAGAGTGTTTATTATGACCTTAGTTTTTCTATCATGTCTGTGAGTTTAGAAAGAAAATTATTATATCTGTTGTTTCCAGATTTAGTTTATTCCAAGCCTATCTGTATAATAGCCACTCAGTAAATATTTTTGCTTGAATTTTCAAATGATCTTGCTTCTTACACAACCACAATAAAAAGTATAAGTAGGATAAAATTGAAAATTCATGAGATGTATAAGAATTGTTAAGATATATAGCACTTTCATACTTATTGTTCTGAACAATACATATTTTTATGTATTGCATATAATATATGACAAATTTTAACCTATTTAATGTTCATGTAACCATATGAATTAAGTAACATTGCTTCCCCACCATTAACAGGCAGGAAACCATGGAACTGAATGCTTAAATGACTTATCCAATGTCTTAGTACTAGTAGAGTTGTGTGTATGTTAGTCGCTCAGTCATGTCTGACTCTTTACAACCACATGGACTGTAGCCCACCAGGCTCTGCTGTCCATGGAATTCTCCAGGCAAGAATACTGGAGTGGGTTGCCATTCCCTTCTCTAGGGGATCATCCCAACCCAAGGATTGAACCTGGGACTCCTGAATTGCAGGCAGATTCTTTACTGTCTGAGGCACCAGGGAAGCCTACTAGTAGAGCTAATAATTCAAATTAGATGGTCTTGCTTCAGAACCTGTGCTCTTAACTACATACTGTGAATAGTAGTGCCAGAAATTCAGATAAATCTGTATAATTTTGCCTTATAATGAATGCAAGCACTTCAGAAATATTTTCCAACGTGTTTTGATAGAATGAAGATTATTATAGTCCTCAGTAAACTATCTCTACTTTGAATATTTCTTTCCAGAAAAAAAAAATTTAGATTTATACTCAAAATGTGAAATATATTTCACACTATTTCACAATAGTGAAATATATACTGTCAGTAGTTGCCTGAATAGAGGGAAAGAGAGAGGAAAGAAAAGAAAGAAAGAAAAGGAAGACCCAGTTAGCACTTGATTGATCAGTTTTAAAGATGCTCACTGTGAAAAACATCTTCAAAAGTGAGGTCATGTACCTTCAATACTTTTACTTTCTAAGATATATATGTGCAAACTTTAAAGAGAGGGCAGCTATATCAGTTTGGTTCAGTAAAATAACTTTACAATCCTTAAAATTTTTAGTGTCTTCTATATGTATTTAACACTTTTAAGCAAAATTCCTTATTTTGAGTTGTAGGATCCTGGAAGATAGGTTGCATGTTTTATTCAATATTTTGCCCTATTTTCTTAGCACAGTACTTTGTAATTTAGTGGACACTCAGTAAACTTCTGTTAAATGAATTGATTATGATTGAGCATAATTAATTAATATAAATTATAATCTTCACAAATTTAATTACAAAAATAATTAGAAAAGTAATATGGTTTAAATGTAGAATAATCTCTGAAGTATTCTCAGGGTCTGGAATGAAAGCAAGACTCATACATTTAGCTGTTTTGTTTACACATATAGTAATCATAATGAATGATTTTTTTTTTACTTTTCTATTATTAGTAAAAATTATATTTGTGGATAATATTTACTCTGAGTAAACACCAAATGTATTTAAACCTATTGATGAATTATACAAATTAATTATTATACTAATGAGCATAGTTTATTTATATTAATTTGTCCAGTGAGACTGAATTACTTGTTTCAGTAAGTTTGGGGGTTGGGAAATAAACACTGTGGTAATACATAAGTTAATAATGTCTTTTAGGTTACTTACTTATTTTTATATATGATGTGTGTATTCATTACAATAATGAAGGGAGGAGGTATACAGATGTTCTTGTCAACAAGGAAACTTTCAGGGAAGTGATAAAACCTATATTTGATAACTTTTTTTTTTTTCTTGTTTGCAGGATTCTGAATTGGGTATTGGTGTTTCTGTTTTGAAGAATATTTCTTTTTGAGCTGTTTTGTTTTTAATCATCCATCTTGGGATACAGAAAAAGAATCAGAAAGACACTTCTTTTAAGTTTAGAACACTCACTCCCGAGGCACCCTCACTGCCGAGCTCACGACCATGTGGCCATCACAGCTACTAGTCTTCATGATGCTCTTAGCACCGATAATTCATGGTAAGACTTTTAATTATATTTTTCTGTGACACTTAATGCTGTCTCAGTAATTTACATTAGACCCTTTTAAATTTTTGTGCTATGATTTTGCAGTTTTTGCCTACCATGTAATAATAACTGTAAGTAATGTAATTTAAGCTGCGATAAATAGAATGTTTAGTTTTATTTCTTAAAATATCATTTAAAATGTGTATCTAACCAAGCTATTTTCTAAAAATTTCATGTTTTATTATTTTTATAACCCTTAAGGAGTATCATTTGAATTATTAACTATCATTTATTATGAATTTAATTGACCTATTTTGCTAAGTAAAATAGCTTTTAATATAGTAAATGTCCTTTCAAAAGAAAACACTCCCAAACTCTGCTTTCCTGAACCCAGTAATTATTTGTTTCTGAGTGTTTAGTACCCTGCTCAATCCTTAACACACAAATTTAAATTGAAACCTCTCATTAAGACAGAATTGGGATAGATATCCCTTTTAACGAGAAAAGAAACAAAAAGCATTTTCAAAAGAGTACCAGCATAAGCAAAAATATATTTTTCCTGAAACATGCTAATATACTCATAAAAGACTGTATACATTGTTCATTTAGACATCTTGGTACTTATAGTATGAGTATGATAGGTAAGAAATGATCTATCTTCCTTTGCAAATTTTTGTAAAACATCTAATTAGTCAATAAATAAGCAAAACAAATTCTGTACCACTTAGTAAAATATTTATTTAATCCCTCTACAAATTGCCAGATTAAAGTCTATATATATGTTACTTTTTCCCAATGTATTGTTTTCTATTGATTATCATTGGTTTTGCCCTTAGATGAAAATGGCATAATACAGTCACTGTTACATATGTTAATGATAATTATAGCAAAGAAAAAAGGACACAGCTGCACTTGCCACTGCTTAGGAGGTCTCAGAGTGTTATAGTTTAGCAGGCAGCTGAAATGACTTTTTAGCCTCCTTGGCTCACTTTAGGTTTTTAATTGACTATAGAAATCTACTATACTTTGTCAGTGATGCAGTTCTTAATTTGACTCATTCATATGTTTTAACATGAATTGCATTCTACTGTCAGTATAAAAACAGGATAAAATCACTTGTCTTTTGACATTTTCCCTAAAGTTCCCCTGCTTTCACAACTTTATTTCTAACAAATTGCTATAAGATTAGTGCCTTTTTAAAAAAATAAAAGTAAAATTATACAACCATCTCATTTTAAACAATGTAAATTTGTTAAATATTTCAAATTTTTTCCTTAATTCTTATACTGATGTGACACTTGTACATTCACATACTTGAGCATGTATAACATTTTGTGATATGGGACAGTATAGGAATTATGTTCCTTTAAACAAATGCTTTTCTAATTGTCAGTGTACCTAAAGATGATTCTGCTTAGCCTTTTTGATATTATGAAAATGTCTCACTCGTAAGGTTATTTGAAGATTAAATCAATAGGATATGTAAAAAATTTAGCACAGAACATGGCTGATAATTAAGTGACTGAACATGTTAATTTCCTTCATCATACTATCTACCCTTCCAGTATATTTTTGTTCCAGTAAATTGTAACATCTAAGAATTAGCTTACCCTGAGAGCTTCTTCATTTGATACTGATATTCAGGGGAAAAAAACCCAAAAAAATCTCTAAGTATATGTACAGTTCGTGTTTACAAAGTCAGTCTAAAGTTGTACTGTTAGAGCAAGGTAGGTTAAAAATAGCAGAAATACACATTGTAAGAAAGACTTTTTTTTCAGAGGTGCAGTTTCTGGTCTCCTAAACCTGACACCTACTATGTATCTCATGGGTCCCAAAGATCACTGAGCCTTACACCATGATTCTTGAGTTGAGACCTGTATTGAACAAGCATAGATAAACACACATATAATCTCTTCAAGTAACTCTAGTAAGTTTTTAAAAACTAATAAAGCACAGAGAATACTGACCCTGGTATATAAAAATATATAAAATATTTTGACTAAAAAACTAATGTTTTCATTTTCTGTGAACTACTTTATATCATCCTATGCATACCAGGCTAAACAATATAGAAACTTTCCACTTATAACTTTATTCTTATTACCTTGTGTAAGTAATTTAAAATTTTTCACCAGAGAAAATGCAAGTCAGTTTTGATTGCCTTCTATGGAAGGCTTTCTCCATTGCCTTGTGATGCCACTTCAGACTTGTAAATGAAGGGCTCCATGCAAGTAGACTTTTGGAGTTCAGCTTGCTCATAAACAGAAAGTGTGTGTGCCATTGATCAGTACAGAAATCTAATAGAATTAAGCATTTTTGGAGTCCCCATCAGTCCTGGCTTGAAGGAATACCATGTATCTTGAAACCTGAAATAAAATAAATGTCTTAGTAATAGAAGTACTTTTTTTTCTAAAACATCCCTGGATAACATGTCCTTGCCTACTGTTGATGTGATGCCTAGCTATATTTGTTCTCCTAATGAGAGAGAATTAACTTTTCTGGATATGACCCAAATTTCTGGCCTTTTCTCTGGAGTAAATAATAATGATGACTACTTCCCTGGTAGCTCAGACAGTAAAGAATCCGCCTGCAATGCAGGGGACTGGGGTTCGACCCCTAGATCGAGGAGATGACCTGGAGAAGGGAATGTCTACCCACTCCAGTGTTCTTGCCTGAAGAATTCCAAGGACAGTGGAGCCTGGCATGTTACAGTCCATGGGGTCGCAAAGAGTTGGACATGACTGAGTGACAAGGACATAGTGATTCAATGGCCATAAACTTTAAGTGTATTGATACAATTATCCCAGCATAATAATTACTTATTACTTATAATAATTACTTATTATTATCATCATTACCATTACCTTTTTATAGTGAAAGTATTGGGGTACCAAGTGACCAAACAACTTGACTAAAGTTGCACGTGAGACCCAGAGAGGTCTTAAAATGAACGATTTAGCTTCTTGAGCTCTGGTCTTACTGCCAGTAAATAATCAGTTCCTGTTAAAGCCATTCTTCCCTGTAGAAAATTCCACATCAGCTCTCCTGGTTCTTGTGAACAGATGAGGTAAAAAGGTAGATTTCTGCCTTTTCCATGTTCTGGGCATAGACCGACTGGGCATAGACCTATCTGGTCTTAACTGATCTGAGATAAAATTTCAGTTCTACTGCCTACAAGTTCTGTAGCAGTTACTTGGTAAATTAGTTAACATATAACATTTATCATAGACTGTGATTCAGATGACTGTGCTAGCTAGCTGCTAAAGCTATGGTAATGAACAAGGGATTTTTAATTCTTCCTTCAAGCTTATAGTAATTTAGAAATTTGTAGGCCTGCTTTTCATCTGTAAGAATAAACACTTACTCCATGTGGGGTTATTTTAAGAAATGAATGATATACACATAGTTCCTAACATAGTGCTTGTCACTCAGTAAATCTTTCTGTTTTATTTTCCTACCCCTAATTACTTTGAAATAGAGCTAAACCTCTCAGTATTAGATAAGGAAGATATACAATTATACTTATTCTTACCCTGAGAATTGAAGTCTTTTGCTACTAGAACCTCAGGATTTTGGTTTTGCCAGAAAAGTTTAATACTAGTATATAAACAAAATTATTGCCAAACTGATTATATATGTCAGATATATACAAAGACAGTATATAATTGTCAGTATATTATAGTATATAATTCTCTATTGTTAGTGGTAGTAGTATGTAATTGTCAGTGATGCATTTTTGCATGATTCCTGCATGGGTAAAATTAGAAACTAAGCTAAATAATTAATTCTGAATAACATTTACATTAGTTGAGTAATCTCCCACATCATCCTAGATAGTCTGGCCAGTATTTTTTTTATAGGAAAATAAACTTAAATTAGTATATCCACATTTTGTGTATATTTATATATATACAACTTTAAACTTAAGAAATGTCTCTGGTTCTGTGTTTATCTGTCCATATTTTATGTCTCTGTGTACCTCTGTATTTCTATTTTTCTGTTTTCCATGACTGTGTCTCCTTCTTGTATAACCATAAAATCCTTATCTATAATGCAATGAGACCTGGCAGAAGGAAAGAGAAGTAGTGAAAGCAGATGGCTAGTTCTTTGCTGTTAACTAATGTAGTGTTGCATGAAGATAAAAGACTGTTTTGTTCTAATGATGTGGTTGGGAGCAAGGGAAAAGAGAGGTATCAGAGAACAAAAATCCAGTGATAACAGGAACACCTGGGACTCATCCTGACTGGCCGTAAAAGAGTATCATGGTTCAGTATACGACCCACACTAGGAGATCTGTCCTTGGGAGGGACGTCACCCAAGCCATAATGGGTTGGGAGTTGAGAAGGTGATTGCGATGCTCAAATATTTTAAGTGCATCTTATGTTAATTAAACCGTACTTAGCAAATGTGTCACAATGACAGAGATAGAAAATGGGATCATTGTAGCTTACTGTGTGTAAAAGGGAACAGTATTTTTAGTGAATCTTTGCAGAAAAAAGTAGAATTTTAAAAATTATTTCATGAGCCACCATATATGTACTTTTTTTCCCAAGTCTATTTTTTGTTGGTAAAGTTGAATGTGTATTTATGTATTAATGAACTTTAAAGCTAATAAGTTAATTATTATAAACAGTTCTTAGCAGGGACAAAACAATGATCAAACACATATATCTTGTACTATATGTTTCTATGTAATTTGCTTTATTAATAATCTATTTTTAGTTACAGTAATATTTAATGTGTCAATGATTTAAAATAATAATTCAAAATATTTTAACCTCTAATAATATGTGAAGCTTGAGAAAGTACCAAATTAAATTTTACCACAGAAAATAGTACCATATAAATTTTTTTATGAAGTCATGTTTTATTTATGGTGCAAAAGGTAGGTTGATGTCTAAGCTGTGCCTAGCTTTTTTTTTCTTCTTTTCTAGAAATTAATCGTCCTTTAAATGTTTATAACGCTTGCCAGCCTAGACAATTTGTAAATTTGCAGTAATATCACTATCTGT